AGTTTTTAAAGTGTATTTTAAAGGAGGCGATTGAGGTGATGCTGCGAATGTGCAGAGGGATAGCGAAGGCGGAGGTTGTGATGGGTGGGACACGTGGTGCGCAGAGTGGAGGGGGGCAGGTGACGGAAACGCGCACTGGAGGGGTGACACCCAGAGAGGTCGAAGACGAAGGGGAAGACCTCAAGCCAAGATGGTCCGAGTGACGAGGCTGTAAGAGTGGTCCTCGAAGGTCGCGATGACCGCGTAACGAGGAGACGTGAAGGAAGGCGTTGGCGCAAAGTCTCTAAACAGTGGTTCTTGTAAGAGTAACAGCAGCGAGATCTGGCAGAGGAAGGAAACAATGGCGTGGTGCCATGGCCGAGCTAGACCAATGGCGTGAGAACAGAGAAGACAACATCGTGGGAAGAAATGTGACGAATATTGAAGCTCATTGTGGGGGGGGGGGGGGGGGGGGGGGTGGGGGAGAGATTCAGGCCGGCCTAGAGAGAGAGGAACGTCTCCCATGTGGTGAACCAGGGGTGTGAAGGACGGTGGAGTAGAGATGATGGCCCAGGATAAGAATGAGTGGAGAAACAGGAGCAATACAAAGATCAGGAGGGCCCAGACAAGCTGGAAATATACAACTTTAGAATATACCATGGAATATACATTTTGAATTTAGATTGAAAACTCGTTTTTTAAGTTATGCTTTTTTGTGTTTAGTTTGTTGTCCTTCCCACGCACCTCTTATTAGCACAGCTGGCGACGTACGGTGCGAAAGAAACTCAATATGCAGCTCACACAATCGGATATAAAGAAGTGACTGGCACGCAGACCAATTTGACTTACATAAGAGAACCGACGCTCCGCACGGAGACCCATCGAATAACATCGAGTTTGCGTCGAGATCGCATGGACTTACACAGAAACCCCATGAGCCCATCTCGAGAACCATAACGGCGATGGGCAGGGAAGCACGTGGCATGACGCCAGGAGACAGAAGATGCAAGATAGGCCAGAAGGAGAGGGAGGAGAAGAGGCGAGTCGGGCGATAATGGAGGGGGTAGGGGCGGCGGAGGAAGGAGGAATTTCACTCCCCTCCACATCCTACATTTCATCATCCTCCTACACCCTCCCCCCCCCAATAAATAAACAAATAAATAATACCCCGCATCCTCTCGCCCCCACCCCTCGCAAGCGATTAGAGAAGGTTTCGCAACAAAACAAGTAGCAGCTGTCAGCGGATATGCGCCCGGGGCGGCCACGAGTTTCGTCCCGCGTGAGATGTTGCGGCCGACACATCAGCGGGCCACGCCAGGCCGTGGCTCGCTGATGAGTCCCAGTGACCGCGAGGATCCTTTCCACAGCGCTGCGACTGAGCACGGTCCACCGATGAGTCCCAGTACCCACGAGAACAGATATAAAACTCTGGGCCTTTCCTTCGCAGTAATTGGCGAGGCATTGCTCACTTAGAAGTTCCAATGATTATGGAGACCCATGTAACGTCCATGACTGCACTGATACACCAGAATCATTATTGTGTTGAATGATAGCACTCTAGACTTCCCTTAAATGAATATATACATGTGTTTATCCCCTTTGTCAATCCACTGCTGGATGAAAGGTATTTCCACTCTGTGTGGGTGCTGAGGATTCTTTAACCATACTTCACGATGCTTGTCATTACCGGTTGGTAAAGCGGAGAAGCCCAGGACGGGTTCAGATATCACTCGCCACTGATGTTAGCCGAGATTCGGGTTCATTGCGCTATTGCGCTAGCAACTGCGCCACTGATCCACCATGACCCTACTTGGAAGTCACTGATGAACTCCAATGTTAATTGGAGCCCAAATGACACACTTGGCTGTACCGTTTTGACTGTAATTTGCTCTCTGAAGGTCCGTAATGAAGGCGAAACACTCTAAACGTCAGTAAAAGAACACTGCGGTCTTTAAAGGGGGAAACCATGCAATGGGCAACGTTTCAGGCAACGATCCTCCTTCATAACATAAATAGAGACGCCAGAAAGATAGAGTGGACAAGAGTTGGAGACTTCACTTTGCACATTGGTGCCAGATGAGAATTACATTTGTAAATGTTTTCTGATGACCAGTTTATAAATTGGCATATGGAGAGTTACTTATTAGTAGCTAGTCGAGGAATAGACAACCCCCTTCAATCATCAAAACGAATTGCTACTAAATTATTTAATTTCTATTAGAAGTAAAATGCTGCTGGCAAATTGCATTATCCGATTAGCACGTTTGCTTATATACGGTGCGAAAGAAGTTCAACATACATTGTGGTTGGACCAGTTGAAGTGAAATTGTCTACACATATCATGAGCATAATCAACTTATTAGATATATCCCTGGCCCCAATTATAATTGTATCCTTCCATATGATTGCAGCAATCTGTTCGGGAGCTAAATGCTAAAGTAGAGGTCTGCTCCTGCTGCTGGCCACAGTCAGAGGGTTTCAGCATAGAAAGTTCGTTCGTGTCGTTTAGCTGTTCCTCCTCCTCTGTTGAAGGAGCGCAGATCACATTTGGGCCTATCGCGTGGTCCATAGTTGGGGTTGCATGGTCACAATCGCACAACTGTGGCGTTGTGTCTTTCATTTTCCATTCATGAAGGCGATGTGTGCCTCGGTCTCTTGGTGATGTTCTTATGCGGTTGATGGTTCCACCGCTGTCATGGAGGAGGAGTGTTTGGAGCCACGAGCTGTACGATGTTTGGAACTCAAATGGGGTGTTTATTATGAACGTCCTCACGCGACTGCAATACTAATGATAGCGTAATAATACAACCAGAATAGCGACACGCGTGTGTGTTCTTCCACGGTGAGACGGATGGCTTTCAGAGGGACCTGTCATTGGAATGATTGACCTAGCGGGGTTTATTTGTCAGGGAGTAGAGGTCCCCGTGTTTTAATTTGAATTCGCGGAGTGGGACGTAAAGCATATGTTTATGAATATCGCTGAAGCAGCGTAAACATAATTTATGACCCACACTTGCGTTTAGTATCAATAAATTAAATTGTTGCCGAGTCAGCGAACTGGCAAACAAAGAACCCGGAGTTTAAGCAAAAAATGTGATAAGGATTTTTTTTAAGAGCATCCTCTTGTTTCTGACAGCATATGATGGCGATGTTTGTTGTTCTTGATGATGAAGAAGTGTGTTGTCCTTCCCACGCACCTTCGATGAGCACGGTTGGCTACGTACGGTGCGAAATAAGTTCACCGTACATACATGTTTGTTGTGATAATCATCATGATGAGACAATGATCGATGATGATTCACATTTATTTTGTTTAACCAGGTGAGAACTCAATAAACCGGGATGAGTTTCATTTGCAAAAAGTAACCTGGGGCATCAACAACGACCAAATGCAATGCTTTGCTCGTGACAGTGATGATGTTTGTTGATGAGGGTAACGATGGTGATTTGGCAAAGATAGTGCAGTACCGGTTCAGACATCGACACAAACATAGAAACACACACAGACAGGCTTTGTATCGCACAGATCGATACAAATATCGATACAAAGATCCCCCGTATAGCCTGAACAGACTCTTGGTGCAAGTGCTGTTAACGAGCACCTCTGAAGGCCGGCACGATACACGAGGGGGTAAATGGCCCACACCACGCTGTGACGATGTTTACACATCGCACCAGGTGCTTCATTTGAGGCCGAGTCGACCTAGGCGAGGTCCAGATAATCCGTACTGGTGTTGGCCGTGAGCGAGAATCGAACCTCGGGTCGCCGGGTTCGTAGCGCAGCGCGCAAACCGCCACACCACCGCTCCCCACTCAGTCAGACGCACATCACAAGCATCAGTCATTAACCAAGCCACTGTTTGGCTGCGTTCTGAAGGCGTCCCGACGCCGTGTCGATCACGGGGCGGTGGCTGGACCATACCTCACTCGCCACCAATACCGAAACATTGAAAAAAGACCTTGCAAACCTGACACGACCCTCCCGAATCCTCAAGAATCGAGAGACTCGGCGAAGCTTGTTTTTTTTTTTCCCCTGGACACACAAGCGACATTATCCGTTTCCAAGACTCGAACTCGGTATGCAGGGGTCGCGGTTTTGTAGCGCAGTGCGCTCACCAATGCGCCACCGCTCGCTCCGTTGTCAATCTACTACTCGATGAAGGCCTCGCCAACTTCGAACCAGTCATGGGAAATGTTTCAGCATACTTCACCGCGCCGGTCAGTTGGCGTAGGGTTACCGAGTCCAGAACTGGTTGATTTGTGGCTGGGAATCGAACTCAAGTGGCTACGGTTCATAGTGCAGTGCGCTAACCGCTGCGCCACCGCTCCACCAACTTGCAAAAATGTCGCACCAACTTGTGTGCACGTGCTCTACGTGACGCAGACAGCGTTCATTGCTTAGAGACGTTTAACAATCATCGGGCGCGTGCAGCGTGGAACGAGTTAATGTGAATGGGGAGCAAATTGGTAAACGCGGAAAATGCGGAACGTGATGGTGGAGGCCGCGAAAAATGGTGTTTCGGAAACCCTGTTAGTTCTAGACTGAAACGGGGCCACGTGATGGACAGCAGAGGGCAGTGCAGCAACATCCGTTGTTGTACAATACTGCTATGTTCCCGTCTTAACCGGCATGGTGAAGTATGGTGAGATTACACCCTCGAACCCCCGCCCTACATGACCCGCAGGGCACGGGGAGAGCCTCATCCAGCAGTGGATCAACAAAGGGACCTGGCTCACGCATCGTGCAAGTCGACTTTGTTTTAGAACGATTCATGGCTGCATTACATACATTCAACACTACGCCAGTTTTACGAGACCAGTAGTTTGGGAAAGAGTCCAAGTCACCCCATTCCACTCTTAGCCCCCCCCCCCCCAAGTACACCCCCCGTCTCCCCCCCCCCTCCAACTCAGTCCCCCCCTCCCCCCCGGCAATTCTTTCCTGCAATTAATTGGGAGTAGCCGTGATTGGTGGCTCTGGCCCCGGGCCCGAGTTAATTGCAGAGCCACCTGTTGAACTGCAGGTAAAACACACGCGGAGCAGTGCGGACGGGAGGAGGAGTGGTGAAGGAGTGGTGGAGGAGGAGGAGCAGCAGCAGCGGTTAACGAACCGCGCAACGATCCCCGCCACCTGAGTTCGACTCCCGGCAACGGTGAGACATCATCTGATTAAGCGTTGCCATTCAGCCCCATCACCGACTCGGCGTGGGGAGGCCTTTCATCCAGCAGTGGATGGATCATAGCTGATGACGATGTGTGCCTGTACCTCCCTGGGACTGTGTGTTTCCGTGTTTCCGTGTGTTTCCGTGTTTCCGTGTGTTTCCGTGTGTTTCCGTGTGTTTCCGTGTGTTCCGTGTGTTGTGTCCCCTATGTGTGTAACCTCTACGTACGTGTATCTGCGTCTCTTCCTTTGTGTGTTATTGGGTCTGGCGTGGTACTGGCCACCAATCCCATTAGCGTGCCCGTGGTGGCCTTCATATAGGTGTTCGTTAACAGCACTTGCCCAAACTATGTTAGGCCTATGCGCAGAGTCATTGTCTTTGTCTGCTCCGTACATGCATAAAAGGTTGATACAGCCGTACATGAGATCATTGTAAATGGTGTCTGTCAGCTATGATACGGCTTAATAGTTACAATTAACCCCGCGGCCATCTGATGTCAGGTGTTTTCCATATGGGAGCCACGCGTACCGAATTCCACTCTTCTCTCCTTTCCTCTCCCACTCTCCCCCCTCTTTATCCCCATATGCCTGGGTGCGCGTGCTCTCTCCCTCTCTCTCTCACACACGTACAAAGAAAAAAAGATAAAGATCCCCCGTTTATCCTTAACAGACTGGTGAGGCAAATGCTGTTAGCGAACACCTTTGAAGGTCGGCACGGCAAACGAGGGGTGGGTGGCCAGCACCTCGCCCGGCCGCTTTTGTCTCCCTAGTGGCGAAGTTTTTACGTACCGCAGCAGGTACTCATTTGAGGCCGAGTCGACCTAGGAGAGGCCCAGGACCGGTCCAAATAATCGTCACTGGTGTTGGCCGTGGGCGGGAATCGAACCCTGGTCGCCAGGTTCGTAGGGCAGCGCGCTTACCGCTACACTACCGCTCCCCACACACACACACGGATATACACACATTGACACCAATACAAAGACAAATATTCTCCCGTATAGCTTGTAACAGATTATTGGGGAAAGGGCTGTTAGCGAGCACCTATGAAAGCCGGAACGGCGCACGAGGGTTGTGGATGGCCAGCACCACGCCCGTCGGCCTTCGTCTCTCTAAGTGGCGGTGTTTACACACCGCACCAGGTACTCATTTGAGGGTGGGTCGATCTACGTTCAGATAGTTGGGAGCGGGAATCGAACTCGTAGCGCTGTGCGCTAACCACTACGCTGACGCTCCCCACACACATCACACACACACGCAGTCTCATACAAACAGACACATTCACACACGGACATACGCACACAAGACATGCACACTCGCATTCACGCATTCACAGCCTCGCAACACACCCTCGCAACACACCCACACGTGTTCACACACACATTCACGTGCTCACGCACACACATACGTGCACATGTGTTCACGTACGTACACACACACAAACGTGCACACGTGGTCACGCACACACACACACGTGCACACGTGTTCAGGGCACACACACTGACGCGCACACACATGTGCACACGTGTTCACGCACACACACTCACGCACGCACATATACACACTTGCACACGTGGTCACGCACAGTCCCACACACACACGTGTTCACGCATGCACACTCACGCACACACACTCACGCACATATACACACGTGCACACGTGGTCACGCACAGTCACGCACACACACACACACGTGTTCACGCATGCACACTCGCACACACACGTGTTCACGCACACACTCTCGCGCACATACACACACGTGCACACGTGTTCACGCACACACACACACACGTGCACACGTGTTCTCGTCGGGCCATCTGCTTTGTGTAATGAGCACTGCACTGCTGCACCCGTGGGCTCCTCGGGAACTTTCGCCGCCGCCCCCTTCACTCCGCAACTCGCAACCCCTGGCCGGGTTCAACCTTCACTCACTCTGTGTGCATGGGGCGGTGTGTGTGCGTGTGTGCGTGGGGCTGTGTGTATGTGGATATGGGCAGCGGTAGTGTAGCGGATAGCGCGCTGCCCTACGGACCTGGCCACCCGGGTTCGATTTCCTGCTCACGGCCAACACCAGTGACGATTATTTGAAACCGGCCCTCCCCTAGGTCGACTCAGCCTCAAATGGGTACCTGGTACGGTGTGTAAATTTCACCGCTTGGGAAACAAAGGCGGATAAGCGTGGTGCTGGCCACCCACCCCCTCGCTAACAGCACTTGCACCAGCATTTTGTAAAGGCTATACGGGGGATCTTTGTCTTGTATGTGGATGTGTGTGTGTAGAAGGGACGTTGATCGTAACGCACACTTGCGCGAGAGGACACATTGGGAAACACGGAGACACAGATACACTATCACAACGCTGGCCGCCTTTGTCTACCCAGTGGCACCGGCTACCCAGGTAAGGCTGAGTCGACCGAGGGACAGGCACACGAATATATGGAGGGACAAACACACAGAGAGACACACTGATACATCGAGGGACTTAGAGAGACACAGTGGGACACACGCGGAGAGACGAAGAGGCTTTCACGGGATGTACGGGTGGAGAATGTCCACAGGGGGTAAGCGGTCACGTGGTTACGTTTGCTTATTAAAAGTGTCAATCAATCAAGCGGTGACCTTTATTTAAAGGTGGACAAATCTACCAAACTCGGCAAAAAAAACCCCATCATCAATCATCACCAATCCACTGCTGGATGAATGCATGCCCCCGCCGCCACCATCCCACGATCCTGCGATTTAATAATAATCCACTTAGCTCCTGGGAGAGGATGTGTTCATTGTCTGCCACTCCGTTGTTCGTATTACTGTTGTTATTATTATTACTACTATTATTATCACTATTGTTATTATCACTACTACTATTATTCTTACTACTATTATTACTACTATTGTTATTCTAACTACTAATATTATTCTAACTACTAATATTATTATTCTAACTACTATTATTCTTACTACTATTATTTTAACTATTATTATTCCTACTATTATTCTTTATCATCTTCCATCGTGGCGTCGTCTATTTTGTTCAGTTACGCGTAGTGGTATAAGCATTTATGTATAAATATATCATTTAAAAAAAATGCGCCTCGTGGATAATGTAAATCGTTAAGTTAATATATCTCCATACATATATTTTTTGCGCAACAACTAGGACAATATCGAACATCTCGCTGCGGTGGAGCGCTGTTAACTCCCTCGCCTGGTACGCAGGCGGTCGCGCGCTCGATCCCGACTGGACGCTTGCACATGTTGCATGTTCTCCGGGTCCTCCGGTTTTTTCTCTCAACATTTTGAATCAACGTGCGCTTAGGGTATTTGGCTGCTGTGCAAACCACTTCGTTGAGCTAATATTTGCGGCCAGATCGCTTCTGCAAAAGAGTTATATAGGTCAGTGGGCCTTTACCTGGTAGCTCAATGGGTCTTACCTGATAAAAAAAAATAAGCTGAGTTTAAAAAAAGAAGACTCTTGCCTATAAACATCTGGCAATTGACCAGCATTGATTGAAACAAGTCTGACTGCTGATGAGACGATGAATGTCGAAACCTGTCCGGAGTTAGTCTCGTACTGATTCAATGCTGCTGAAATTACGCAATCTCAGAAGGAAAACTTTTGGGTCGATGGGGTTGTCCAGACAATAATTTTCTTTTTTTTTTACGTTTACAAACATATTTGAAGATGACGTTACATCATCCGCGTATCTGGTGTGTTACGTGTGCGTTTATTACATAAACAGTGTGCGAGCGAGGCCATCACAGCCGGGCGTTTGGTAGCTCTGAGCTGATCGAGCGTTCTCGGCGAGTGCCGTCCCTCCGGGTTGGTGGAGCGTCCCCGCTCTTCTATCCACGGTGGCATCTGCGAGATACTCAGGAGCTCGGTGCCAATGTCGGGGTCTACTGCTGCTGCTGCTGACCACGACGAGGGGTGCTTCAGGAGTCACAGTTCGTGTAGTTTTGCCCTTTCCTCTGTTGAAGGAGCGCAGACTTGCAACGGTGGCTTTTGCTCTATGGGTCACGGATTGGGTTGCGTGGCCATAATCGCACTGCTGTGGTTTGTGGCTTTTCATGTTCTCTTCACCAAGGAGATGTCGCCCATCGGCCTCATGGTTACAAAGTGCCGGTGGCGGTGGCTACGCACGCCCGCAATTTCAACACTGTGGAGACGGCATCGAGGGCTGGTGGAACACGCAAATGTTGTGAATCTTCCTTTGCTCGTGCGCATCGAGGTGGTGGTCACAACCCTGGCTCGCCAAGAGAAGGCAGTACAGCAACAAAAAACGTGGACTCCACCTGTTCCAACTCCATGGGATAGAGTGCTGCCCCCTCGCACGCGTGGGTTTTCTCCAGGCGGTTAGGTCCGGGGGGGGGGGGATCTTCCTCAGGCCCCTGAGTCATCCCGATGCCTCTCTCTACGAAAGCGAGCGAATCGTGCGCGTTTCCAAGTTACAATTATTACAGTTTTATAAATGTCCATGCCACATCCAGGAGGTGTGCGATGTTCGGGGCGGGGGATGGGTGGTGGTTTGGGGAAAATCTCGCAATGATTCGTGCCCTACCCCTCCCGCATTCCCAGTACAGAGCACGAGGTCCCTTTAAACGTTAAATAAAACATCAGTGCAGCTCCGGGGCGCGGAGTCGCGCGGCCCTAATTGGAAACATCTGCGCGCGTCTCGCCGTCAAATGAGCCCGAAACGCCACAGAACCACGGCGACTACCGACGACTCTTGGGGCTGTGGGTGGTGGGGGTGGTGGGGGTAGGGTGGGGTGGTGGGGGTGGTGGGGGTGGTGGGGGTGTGGGGGTGGGGGGGTGGTGGGGGTGGTGGGGGTGGTGGGGGTGGTAGGGAGCGGTAGTGGAGCGGTAGTGTACCGGTTAGCGCGCTGCGCTACGAACCCGAGTTCGATTCCTGCTCACGGCCGCCTCCCCCACCTGACGAAAATCTCAACCAGTCCTGGGTCTCCTCCAGGTCGGCTCGGGATCAATGAGTGCGTGGTGCGTAAACATCGCCACTCGAGAGGCAAAGGCGGCCTGCTGTAGTGCTGGTCACCCACCCCCTCGTGTGTCGTTCCAGCCTTCATAGGTGCTCGATTTTTGCACTTGCCCCAACAGTCTGTTAAGGATATACGGGGATCTGCGTGTTTTGGAGGGTGGTGGAGTAGGTGGGGGACTGTTGACCAAGTTTTCGTCCTTGCATGAGAACTGAAAAGCTTCAGCGGGGCTCATCAGCTGAGATAAATTCCGAGTCTTAGTCTTGTGGCAGCGGTGGTGTTATTGGTTTTTGGATGATGATGGTATTTGTGCAAGATTATGATGGTTTGTTCCATAACACGTAGGTTTTGGAAGCCGATAATATCACAGTTATTATTTACAATCGGTGTTTTTAGTTCGGTCACGTAATGATTTGGACAATGTGTCATTAGGACCCTCCACCACCCGACACAGCCATACACATTAATTGCCACGTGGCGTTTACAGCAGGAACTTAGCTATGATTCGCGGATTTCACACGGATATCACTCGTCTGTTGATGCTATCCGTGGCCTGGAACTTTAACTCAGGAAAGCGAGGCTCAACGTCTCTCCTGGCGGTAGAGCAGAATCGGTGAGTTGATTTGATGGTGATTATGGAGGTATTTGGTGTGTGGTGGGTTGGTATTGACGGTGGTTAAATTGCCGGTCTCGCCCTGGGGCTGGTCACCCACACCCCTCGTGTACCGTGCCGGCTCGCTAACAGCACTTGCCCCAACAGCCTGTTAAAACTGTGCGGGTGATCATTGTGGTGGTGGTAGTGGTGGTGGTTGAGACTGATGGTAGCAGGAGCGAGTGGGTGTGTGGTTGAGTGGTGGAGGGGTGGTTGTGTTGGCGGTTGAGGGTGATGGTGGCAGGAGCGAGTGGGTGTGTGGTTGAGGGGTGGTTGTGTTGGCGGTTGAGACTGATGGTAGCAGGAGCGAGTGGGTGTGTGGTTGAGTGGTGGAGGGGTGGTTGTGTTGGCGGTTTGAGGGTGATGGTGGCAGGAGCGAGTGGGTGTGTGGTTGAGTGGTTGAGGGGTGGTTGTGTTGGCGGTTTACGTGCATGTGTTGTTGATGATGGTAGGTGGGAGCGGTGGCGTTGTGCGGAGGAGGGTAAGTGGTGGTGGTGGTTGGTGGTTGTGGTGATGACTGTGTTAAATATAGTAATAATAAAAACGCCCGCTCGTGCCAATTAGCCGTGCGTTAGGGAAGTCGCAGAGCGTGTAATTGGTGCGGAGCGCCGTGTAATGAGGATGATTTTGATTCAGTAGCGAATTGCCTTCTACACAGAGTGACGCGCGGAGTGCGCGCGGGGATCTTACAACAGCAGTAATAGCCCCCCCCCCCCCCCCATGCCACCCTAATCCCCCATGCCCCCCGCCACCTCGTCATCCTTCCCCCCACCAACTTCATCATCCAGCCCTCACCCCCCGTCACTGCCTCTTCTAATTCCCCCACGAAATCCCTCTCCTCATTCAACCACACTCCCCCCCTCAAGCCCCTCCCATCATCTCCACCTCCCCTCAGCCTGATCTCTTCTCCCTCTCGTCATCCTCCCATCACCTCCCCTATATCCCTCCCCCTCTCCTTTAATAATTCCCCATCATTCCCTCATCTCAACTCCCCTCCCATCCTCCCCTCATCCCGCCCCCCACCCTTCGCAACTCCCTCGCAAATCTTGGCGATATCTCAAACTCGGCATCCACGCGCAATTATTTGTTGTTGTTGTTGCGACGTTAATTAAGCCCAAAGAGCGAATTCCGTACAGAGCGAGGCGACCAAATCTTCTGGGAGGCTCAACCTGAGGCACGTGGCGGTGAGCTGGGAGCAGCTTCCGTCATCAGCCCCGCCTACTTTTTTACATAACCCCGCCCACATTGCAGTCCGATTGGCCCGCCACTGGCTCAGGTAGCCCCGCCCACTGCTCGAGTAGCCCCGCTCAACTGTCCAGGTAGCCCCGCCCCACTGCCCAGGTAGCCCCGCCCACTGCCCAGGTAGCCCCGCCCACTGCCCAGGTAGCCCCGTCCACGGCTCAGGTAGCCCCGTCCACGGCTCAGGTAGCCTCGCCCACTGGCTCAGCCCTGCCCACTGCCCAGGTAGTCCTGCCCACTGCCCAGGTAGCCCCGTCCACGGCTCAGGTAACCCCGTCCACGGCTCAGGTAGCCCCCGGTCCGCGGCTCAGGTAGCTCCGCCCACTGCGCAAGTAGCCTCGCCCACTGGCTCAGCCCCGCCCACTGCTCAGGTAACTACGCTCACTACTCGGGTCGCTCCGACCTTTGCATCATGAGTCAGGGCGTGAGGCCAGAACATTTTGTTCAGAATCAGAGAATCTTAATCTTTGTTTATCCTGGAGGAATCCTATGAGCTGTGAAGTTATTTTTTCACAAATGTCCAGTACAGGCGGGTCAGAAAGTGGTGGTGTAGGGAAGCAGGCCAGTCTTTCTGAAACCACAGCAACTGTCCCGGTCAAAATGAGCAGGACATTTGGTAACTGTGTTGCAAACATTCACGATTGCAAATATTAAGGAGGGTCTTCACGACAAGCTGTC